TCCTTAGAACCCTAAGTGAACGACATTGTTTTTTTACCAAACCAGACAATGAGAATGTTTAATTAACATTTTGAGCGATATATTAATTGTACCTCACAGTACAATAAACATCTATTCATATTAACTTCTAGAAAAGAGCTCAGTGTTATAATAATAATAATTGCTTACACTTACATAGCGCTTTTTTGGACACCCCACTCAAAGCGCTTTACAGGTAATGGGGACTCCCCTCCACCACCACCAATGTGCAGCATCCACCTGGATGATGCGACGGCAGCTATACTGTGCCAGAATGCTCACCACACATCAGCTATCAGTGGGGAGGAGAGCAGAGTATTGAAGCCAATTCACGGAGGGGGGATTGTTAGAAGGCCATGATTGATAAAGGCCGATGGGGAAATTTGGCCACACCCCTACTCTTTTCGAGAAACACCCTGGGATTTTTAATGACCACAGAGAGTCAGGACCTCGGTTTTACGTCTCATCCAAAGGACGGCACCTGTTTATAGTATAGTGTCCCCGTCACTACACTGGGGCATTAGGACCCACATGAGCCACAGGGTGAGCGCCCCCTGCTGGCCCCACTAACACCTCTTCCAGCAGCAACCTTAGTTTTTCCCAGGAGGTCTCCCATCCAGGTACTGACCAGGCTCACTCCTGCTTAGCTTCAGTGGGTTGCCAGTTGTGAGTTGCAGGGTGATATTGCTGCTGGCTATGACAAATAACAGCTGTTATTTGTTTAGTCAAAACTGTTAATGAGCTCAAATGTTTTCATTATTGGTATGATTAATATTTTAATATATTGGCAGCATTTAACGTATTTTCAACATATCCTCAATTTGTGGTACTGTATCTCTAAATTTGTCTCACATTGGCATTGGTCAATCAAGCAAGCAATCAATCAATCCATTGTATTTTTTATAGCACCCTTCAATCCAAAACATTCTTAAAGCACTTTATATAACTTACACATAGAAAAACTTACGGTAAACAAAAAATAAAGTAAACCAAGTATGTTTTAAGGCAAGATTTAAAGACATACTGTACTGTTGGCTGCATTTTTAAAAGGTCAGGGAGAGTATTCTAAATACGAGGGGTTACCAGAAAAGGCTCAGTCCCTTACTGTACATTTTGAAGTCCTTGGAATGTTTTGAGGAGCCTTGAACAAGCAGAACAAAGGGAGTGAACTGGGATGTGGGAATAATAAATCTCGAATTTAGCCAGTGCATGGTTTTCAGCACAGCATAAATATATTCGGATTATTTTTAGTATTGTCAGCGCTCAAGCTGCTCAGTTCTGGAAATACTGTAGTTTCTAAAGTAATTTCTTGGATGAACCATCTAACACATCATTGCAATAATCTAACCATGATGAGATAAAAGCAACAAAAAATTATCGTTCTCATTCAGATAAGTTACTGATCTTAAATAAGATGTGTTTTACACACAGAAGAAAGATTTTTTGTTCGGGTGAATTGAAAGATAAGGAAAACGTCATCTCTATTTTTTTAACAAAATATGAGGGAACGATTTCTGTATTACCAAATGTGAGATTTAGACTGGATGGGAAGAGCTAATTAAAATAATCTCAGTCTTATTGTTGTTTAATAGGAGGTTATTGTGACCTATCCACCACTGTATGTCTTTAAGACATGTGCCTAGTGTTAAATAAGCAACTTGACGATTCAGTGTATGCAAATAGATTTAAATTTAATCAGAATAACAGTGGAAGCCACCATATTTTCCAATAATCTGACTTGATGGCAACCTGAGGTCACTAATCAATTCTAAATCCAAGTTATCAATCTTTTGTCAGAAATGTTATCAAAGCCTTCTTAAAATCATTATGTCATATCTGCACTCTTTTCGTCAAACATGAGTGCTTGTTTAAAGGATTCTAATATGTTAAATTAAGAAAAAGACTAATTGCATATTCTACTGTAAATACATATACATATTCAGCAATGATTTTTCTGTATTGTACAGTATACTACAGTGATCACTAGATATATAGGGGTACCTTATCTGAGTCCTGTATTAGTACACAGTTAAATTGTATTTATCACATAAAATATATTTCAGAGTGACCTCTATTCAACATGTCTTTTCATGATGTTTGCACTTTAAAATGACATTTTACAAAATCAGGGGCAGAAATTCCATTGCAGTTCCATCACAAACTTATAAACAGTAGAACATAATTAAAACTATTCATTAGTATTACTAATATCATATTCTTTTAGTAACAAGAACCATTTTGCAGCTACATATATTATCTGTTAGAATGCTTGCTGTTCCTTTTTTTCACAGTCAGGTTCAACAATGGTGTCAGTGCTTGGTTGTATCCATGACAACAGCAGAAAAATTTGGTTGCAGATATTTATGTTAGAACTTGCCATTATAAATGCAAGTTGTAAATTTACTGAATACATATGTCAGCTTTTCTAAATCTTAACACTGCAGTTTCTGGATTTTTCATACAGATTTGTATGTAGGCTTTACAAACTGTTTTTCTTTTCCTGCTTGTCACAAATGTGCATCATTAGTGATATTGTCTTATTTTGGCAGTACTTCCTGTGATGTCAAGAAAGGGTCCTTCCTGAACTGACTAAGATTTCTTTGCTTCAGCAGCTCTGACATGACTACAATGACTGCAAAATGAGTATGGATTTTAATTTGTTAATATTGCTCTAGGGTGTGAATGCTTGCATTTGTTAAGCGTATATGAATGTTACTTACAGTATTTAGAATTATTTTGCAGAGGGCTTCATTGTGAGCTGTTCTGTGCTGCATTGGTGGTTTCATAAAACGTCACTTCACGGGTTCCATTAGGATGCCACATTTTTACTACAGTTAAATGGATTTTTTTCTGGTGGAATTAAAAATATCCAAAATGTTTCCAAGGACTAATTTTATTTATCTGAAACAAAGGGATTATTTGGTCTACTTTCTGCCTTAAACGCCAACATTTTACAATGTTTAAGACAGAAGATGAAGATGTGGCTCTTAACATCTATGGTTTGAAGTATTTAGAAAGCCTGCATACTTATCTGGAATCAGTTCTCTGTCTGTGAGAAGCTGGTTGGTTTTGTTTTAAACTCATGTGGATAAGAAAACACCTCTGTGGGGCAGCATGAAGAATGCTGAACAGAAGTGAAGCGTTTTATGTAATGACTCCTTGGCCTATTCCTGGCTTTGGGAGTCTAAACCAGGATCAACTCACACTCACCTGAGGTTTTGCTGCTGGGATGGATATGAAGACCAACAAGATAACATGCTTCATTCTTTCCAATGTGAAAGTGATCTAAAATCACCTGGATGTTCTGTGATTTGGCGACATAATATGACCTGGAGTTGGGGTTTGTTTGACGGAGCATGGGGCTTATGGGCATGGATACCACCAAACAAGTCTTTTGACTTGGATTTTTCTTCCATCTTATTATCACTAAATTAATGTTTTATTTCTTTATATGCTAAACTTTATATCTTTAACTCCAGCCTGGAATAAAAAATTTAACTGCTGATCACATTAGCACAGTATTAGTAGATAAGATCTGAGCAGTATACAAACTGAGGTGCATGCACACAGTATTTCATATCTTGCTTGTATTAAATTAAGCAGTACAAAAAGTATAAAAACAAGTCTGTTAAATGTTCCTGAGACCTACACCTGTTGATTTCCTATTTTGTAAGAAAAAGAACTCAAATGAAAACAAAAACAATTGTGAATTTCTTTTTGAGGAACCTGTTTCTTTAATATTGTACTGTATATTTCCTTGCTTTCCTAGATAGACAAATAACCTGGCAGTGTGGTTTCCTAGCAACCGCAGGGTGATAAAACATCGCTGCAACAGTGAGGAAGAGCATCTCTTCCCATTAAAGATGAGGAAGTGCGACCTGTGACATAATAAACCCCATACATCAATGTGTGACCATATAGTATATACAGTACCAGTCTGAAACCAATTGTATTAGGTGAAGTTTTCCAGCTGGATGGATTTTCCTTGTTCCTTTTTGGTTTTAAGTCTTTTGGACTGTGGTTTATTTTGTGAGCCTGTTTTAAAGTTTATATAAAGCATATTACTGATTGTAGATCATCTCACCTTTAACAATGAACTGTTAAAGTGTCATACAAGCATATTTCAATACAGATCTCTTTTTTGTTGTTGTTGTTTATTGCTTATCTTGGGAGAAACAATATTGTTTTGTTGTGGGTTTCACTGACAGGCCTTAACTTACACTTGTTAATGAATAACTGGTGTCCTTGTTTGAAACTAAGTTTTGCTTTGCGCAACACATCCATCTTCACACAAGATTTACACAAAGCATAAGTTGGGCTGTGCCCTGAGTTAAAGCAAATATTGTACAGAATGGGTGTTTGTGTGTGAATGATATAAATGTAATTACCCTACATATTCTCATGGTTTAATGATATAAATTCACTGTATTTCACTGTACATCACTGTTACCAGCATGATTTACTTTATTCTTAAGTCTATTAGGTATCCCGTAACAGCTCAGTTAATCAGCCTGACCTGGAATCTTGTGGTTGTGATGATTCCTTTCATTTTATACTGAAATATTGAGAATTGCAAGTGTCCTCGCCGTGATAACATTTTTCTTTCCAAAGCATATTCTGGAGACTTAACAATGTATCATTGATTTGATCCATCAGAATAGCTTTTTTAAATTTTGATATAATTTGATAATGCCTGTTACGACTTCTATGACAATTTTCACATTAAGTTGTAGACAATAGCATGACCTAAAACTCAGTAGATCTTTTTTTCTATTTTTCCCCTTTGAAATTGTTGAGAGTTTGTACTAAACTTTTCAATGTTACACTAAAACATGATGTTCTTTATTTTTATAAATGTTTTATATTTATTGTATTCTTTGTCCCTCCGTTCTTTTATTATAACTCATTTCCCTGTATATTCCTCTTAAAAATTCTTAGTTAAAAAAATGTTGTCACTAATGGTACATTTCTTTCTCCAACAGTACTGAGTATCGGAGAAGGGGGATTCTGGGAAGGAACAGTGAAAGGGCGTACGGGCTGGTTCCCTGCAGAATGTGTGGAAGAGGTTCAAATGAGGCAATATGACCCACGGCAAGGTAGGGATTGGGGTTGCTTTTTGGAAAACATTCACGTGTGCTGCTGTCTTCCTTCTTTTCAGTAGTTTGGTCAAATTCTAAAAATGACTGAAAAAGCTAGCTAAAGAGATCCAATACTTTGCTGCTAATTCACCTGGGTGAGGAATGAACCAGAGAGGCAGATTCAGGGCTGGAGCTGGGATGGAAGGAGTGATTTTAGAAAAGATGTGTGCTGAGTTGTGGGCAGTCAGGGAGTATTTACACATCAAAGAACAAAAGTGCAACAGAATTTGATCTACTCTAGAACCACTGTTAAATAAATACCATTTAGTACAAACCCATTTCTCTTTGGTTATATACTGTAGATCATTAGTTTTATAAGAAAATAATTAGAAAGAGGTGGCATCTCTCCTTTAATCAGCATTGATCCTACTGTATAGTGCCAAAGACCTTGTAGAATGTCAAAAATGCATGGCTCAGTGGTTGAACGGGTCAGAAAGCCTTTTTGTAGTTCTTTATTCTTCCCTTGCTGGTACAGCTGTCGTTGCTGTGAAATGAGAACAATAAAAGACACAATCTGTGATACCAGATTTGGTAGCTGTAAAAAATAATTAGCTAGTGTTTTTTTTTAAAAGCTCAGTGTTATAAAATAAATATTGTTTTTCTAATGTCACAAACAAATATTTTAATAACATTGCTGTATATTATTTTGTCTTGGACTGCATTCTATTTTTCCAGCAGATGTTCAATTCAGCCACATCTTTGATCCAGCCCATTTCATGGCTTTTATAAAAGTAACTCAATAAGTTTTCCACTGTTAATTAATCTGCTTAGTTGAATGAATATGGGTAGAATATGGATTGAATGAGTGAATATGGGTATGGAGTGGATTTTTGTTGCAGTGCTTGATATACGAAATTATTGCTTATTACATTACTACTTAATGGTAATGGATTTTTTATAGTAAAGAACAATTGTTATGCTTGTTTCTGATCTCCATATATTGGTAACACCAGAACATTGTTCATAGAAGACGTAGAAGGTTTGATAATGTGCTCCAGATAAGTTATTAAACAAAGTTTTTAGAGGTTGTAGCAGCGTGTTGTGGTTTTATAAGAAAACTTGATAAATGCCTGCTTTAGATGTATGCTGAGTCCCTCCAGCCAACTTTCAGCTCAGATATCGACAATGAGTGAAGATTACCCCAGCCTAGGAGCAAGCCAACTAAATATCCTATTTAAATGCATTGTGAGATTGTCATTGAGACAGATGAAAAACTTCACACTTAAGGACAGGAATGGAGAGTCTAAATCCTGCGTCAAAGGGCCTACAATTTTGTCAGTTTTGTCAGGTCAGTTGCTACAGTATGTTTCTTAAATAGAATATACAGTGTGTGCCCCTAAAAATGAAAATATTGACACCATACTGTATTTATGAAACAAGGCAGTCCTACAAATTGTCACTCTATAATGTTTTTGTGATACCGCTTCTCACATTATTGAATGCTTGTTGAATTAGTATTAGTATACTGTACACTATAATGCACATAAACTGAAATAATCGATTTACACAATGAAGCTTTATGATTTCAAAGGTAGCGCAACTAATAAAGATCTAATGAGACAAGTAATACATCAGATCTAGTAATAATAAATATAGAACATAAAGATGATAATATCGTTAAACATTTAAGAAAAAAAGTAATGATTATCCTAACTTAAAAATTCACTGTAAATCATTATTTTATTGATGGGTGCCTGTCAGTATGATTTCTAAAAATGAACTGAGGATTTCAACGTGAGCAGCTGTAATGAACAAAAGGCACAATCTGAAAAGTTTATATTGGGAGTAATTAAAATTGGTTAAATTATGCATTTTTTTACAGCAGTAGGCATAAGACTAAAATATTTTAGAACTTGGTGGCATTTGAAGGCACCTAGCAATGTGTAGAGTCCATTGTGGATTATTATGTGTTTCTTGATCAAGCATTGTTGTATTAGGCTTTTTTCTGTTGCTGAACATACTTAGCCATACTAGCTGTCACACAATGGCTTGAGGAAGGCCAAAGTAGGTCTGTTTTATAAAAGAATGGCTCTGCCACAAAGCACTCAAGTAAAATAAATGCAGTTTATTTACAGTGCTCCCAGTCCTCCACACCAGAAAAATGAAAACCCAAAAAGGAACAAAAATAATTCTTCAAATAAAGATACATCCTCCATTTCTTATTGCTTTCTTTCTGTTTTAAGTCACACTACCTGACTCACCAATCAACAACAACATACCTCTTAGGCTGAGGAGCCAGTTTAAATAGCATGTAAGCCCCTCTACCTCTGGAAAAAAACATTTCTCCAATTCATATGCATGTGGTTTTTCCCATCTCCATGAATAAACCTTGAGAACTGGCCTTCTGAGGCCACCATAGGCTGTACCAACACCGAACAAACAGTGAGTATCATCCATTTTGAGAGCACTCTCCATTCACACCACAATACTCACTCATATCTGTGTTTAAGTATGTGTTTTATGTACGTGAACATATATGAAATTAAGTAATAGCAGTTACTGGTCAAGCCCTGAGTGTGCACCCTCAGGAACTTATCTAGCAACCGCTCAACGGAAGGTGTATGAATAGTGTATTTCTCGTGCTACCTGTACCTCGTGACAGGCTCCTCTGTCACACCAGCTTTCAAGAACTGGATAAAGCTTGCAACAGGCTATTCTACTAATAACACTGGAAACATCCTAATTGAAAAGTAAACAAATTGAGTTAGCAGGCTGGAGTTAGCAAGAAAGAAAGTTAAATTAATTTCATTTGACAGCTTCTTCTATTTCAGCTTCTATCTGGCAGTTTGTATCTTTGTTTCCAGGCCTTTGTTTGTCCATTACATTTAATTTTATTTACAAAGAAAAATCTTATTTTAGGACAGATATGTCTTTCATTTATTTCATTCTACAAATATGCACAGAAAGGATCAAGGGAAATTATACTTTTACTTTGATGTTGACAGTGACAAAGAAGCATTGTTGCTTCAGCTTGTGTTGCTGGGTCATGGAAGGATTCCCTACTATACCTTAAAGCACTTAATTATCCTGTGGTGAATTAGCTGTAGTGTTAGTCTCAGACAAAATGAAATCATTTTTCCTCGTCTGGTCACTTTTGTTTCTGGCTGAGTTAACCCCTCAGTCACTCCTTATTGATTTGGTGTTGGTCTGGATATCAGCTGATTATCTGAAGTTGGATGTTTAGTCTGGCCACTAGACTTGGAGGTAAAATGGTCAGCTTGGATTACTGATCGGCATTCTTACCATTACTTTCATTATTATTACTTATTTAACACTCAGAGTTAAAACTGTTAAAAGCTTTAGGCAATCATTTAAAGTTTGGTACATCTTTTTTTTTACTGATTGATGTATAAGATAGACAGTAACATTAACTACTATATAACTTCTTTTTTTATACAATTAGTTCAATATGCTACAGCAGTTTATCAGATAGCCGTGAACTCATTTAGCTTCCTGAGTGTCCTTGAGTATGCAGTACTGTATGTCTCGCAGTGATGTGGGCCTTCTGTACATTTTACTTAAGTTTTGTTAAGTTAAAAAAGGTTATAAATCATCAACATTAAAAACGAATACTACGAGGTACTTTTAATAGGTGTTGAATGCGTGCCAGGGCAGCACATTGGGGAAGTGGTTAGCATTGCTACCTCACAGCACTGGCACCCTCGGTTGAATGCTATCTGCATGGAGTTCCTGTCTTCTCCATAACGAACATATCGGTTTTCTTGAGTTGCTCCAGTTTCCTCTCGCAGTCCAAAGATATACTGGTAGATTAATAGGTTTCTGGGACAATTGGTCCTGGCTTGAGTGTGTGCGTGGTTGTGTTTGTGTCTGCCTGTGCTGCAATGGACTAACATACCCTGCCTTTGCTCCCGTTGCCTGCTGGGATAGGCTTCAGCTCCCATGCGGCCCTGTATCGGATATAGCGCTTAGAAAATAGGTGGTTGAAATCCATGCCTGGGCTCATGTCACAACTAAAATGTGCTCTTTGGGAAAAAAAAGAGTGTTTGGCAGAGGGATTGAATTTATACTTTATTGCTTCAGATGTTTATTTTGGAGATAACAGATGAGGTTCTGCTCACAGGGAAAGCAATATGTTGCAGTCTACTGAAGCAAGGAAGAAGGCACTGTCTATGGCTAACACATGCTAACAGTTCTTTTTACAGTAAGGTTTGTCTGTGTGGATTGAAATAAATGTACACACCTGGGCATTATGCTCCCTTCAAGAAGTCAACTTTATTTCATACTGCACAGTGATATCGCCTTGCAATCTGTTAACTGTCAGTTTATGTGCTCTTTTTATGGGGTTCTTCTCAGAGCAACAGGACTGTTAAAGTTTGTGTAATGTTGAGTAAGATTTCAGTTTGATTTAATATTTTTTCTTTAAAATCCACTGAAGCTTTTAACGAAAAACAGTTGCTTTAAAATCAAGTCTTTGAGAAATTTGATTGACTGCTCTGCACAGAACTGGAGAAAAATCTCCATATCAACATATCTTAAGCACCTATTGCATTATATTTCGAAACACGTTTTATTTTTTGAGTTCAGAAAACATCACTATTTTGCCAAAATGAAATAAGTTCTGCTTGTTTCTCATCGTAGTAGGAAAACAGATTGTGAAAGGGTTAAGAATAATCATGTTGTCTTCAGCTCCTTCAGCTGTTTCTCATAGTAATCGAATTTCTGTAAATGTTTTGGAAAACTCTAAATTCAGCGACATTGTGAAAAACACTGCAGAGCAATACAATTTTGTGAAATGCTGTCCATGGACATGGAGAGCAAACCAGAGGTCTCTGCATCAGCTCAGTGTGAATGCCGTTGTGTCCATGATGCTTGAAAGGATATGGTACATGGCTGCATAGGTGCTGCTTCTGTTTAGGAAAAGTTTCCCCACATACACAAGACTTTAACTACAGTATACCATTGTTTGAATATGCTGTCCAGAATTTTAAGCACTCAGT